TGAAGCTACCGCCCGCACTCCAGGGAGGCTCGCCGACACAGCTGATGTAGATGTAATCTACAAATGAGCAAAGGAATAAGGGGCTGTGCTTTCTTGGAATAGCTTAGTAATTTGTATTATGGGGTGCAGGAAGCCATGAGACTGATAAGACCTTACAAGTGACAGGCTTGTTCTAATCTGTGAAGCCATGGGTGGCCTATGCATCTAAATGTGGGATTGGTTCAGCAATTTTGAAACCATTTCAAAATCCAACACTGACAGCCCCAAATGCCATCTATGGAACATCCTGGGATCCACAGAGAACATGCCTATCCATCTGACAGTCACAAAATTAACTCTGCCCAGCAGCAGTTCGGCATAAGCCCTGGACTTGTTCTGAACATGACAATGTAAGGATCACTGCCATGCTTCGACAGGTCTTTGATTTCCCCAGTGACAGATCTCTTTGAAGACCATCATTCATTCAGTGCAAAATGCAAACACATCAACAGAGCCAGGCAACTGTTTAATTATGTACAGCATCTTTAACACAGCTCAAGACTGGATGTTTGTGCCCCTTGCCTCTGGAAGAAGAAGGAAGAGGAATTACAAATCCACCTCCCAAGACTTCCTTGAAAGTGTTACCTGATATTATTAGCAACCAGGGCTCGTAAAATCTACAAGCAACAAAAACTTACAAAGAGGATGGGGTCAGGGAAAGCTAGGCTAGCAGCCACACTTTGAAAGCAGACTGATTATAATATTTGTTGTGTACCTTTAAATCATTTCCAACTTAAGGTGATCCTAAGGGAAACCTATCAAGGGGTTTTCTTGGCAAAATTTGTTCAGAGGAGGCTTGCTATTGTCTTCCCCTGAGGCTGAGAGTGTGACATGCCCAAGCTCACAAAGTAGGCTTCATGGTTGAGCAGGGAATCGAAGCCTGGTCTTCAGAGTCATAATCCAACACACAAACCACTACACTACACTGGCTCTGAAACTCAAATAAACCAAGGGAAATGACAAACAACAGTCATTTGACTTTAGCGCTTGGCATTTTAAAATGACTCAAGCCTCATAGAATCATAGAGTTGGAAGAGACCACAAGGGCCATCCAG